TTTTTCTTCTCTGACCGATGCCTCTTTAAGGAGCAGATCCCTATCGACTATTTGAGTTTGATACACTTTCTTTGCAGTTGTTACAATCCCTATTTCACTAGTTAATCTACGATTTTCTTTCCTTAGTGCTGCCCATTTGGGATACAATTTATTAAACTCAATTTCAAAAGATGATTCACTTGACTCTAAATCTTCTGCAGAATTGTACTCGCCTCCCTCTAAATCAGCAACATCTTCATGACACGATTCAGCAGCCATATGTGCAGTAAAGGCAACAAAATTACCTGAAATTTCGTCTGAATCAGATCCTCCTGTTTCACCGTCCGAGTCATTATCACTCCAAGTAACTGCTGACATGGATTTCTTGCGTCGAAGATAGGTGGGGCACTCTGCTTGTACATGCCCGAAGCCTTCACATTCATAGCATCTGATCCCTTTACTGGTGGACTTCTCTTTGGACTGTCCTGGACGTGAACCAGAAGACTTGACGGTTGACGAACCGGATTTAGAACTCGTTTTAGATGATGACGCCCCCTTTTGCATATTCTTGTTTCGTGAGCCTTTTGACACCTGTTTCAAAAGTTTAGAAAACTGTTTAGTAAGATATACAACTGGATCATCACCTATTTCATCTAAGTCAGGTGCACAATTATTTTCTTCAGCGGTAAATGCTACTGTTTTTTGTTTTTTTTTTTTTTTTGTGTGATCTGTTAAGATTTCCATCTCATATGTTCTTAGATTCCCCATTAGTTGTGTTACAGTCTTTTTCTCCCAGTTGTCATGTTCCTGGATTGCTATAACTTTCATCCGGAACCGAGGTGGCAGTGATCGTAGAATTTTTTTCACCAACTTTTCTTGAGTGAACGGTTCTCCGAGGACCATAGCTCGATTTGCTAGCTCTTGCACACGAGTGTGAAAGGTCACGATGGTTTCATCTTCGTTCATCCGGAGCTCCTCGAAGTCTGACTGTACCAGTTGCAGTTTCGATTGTTTTACCGACGATGTGCCTTCGTAGGTAGCCTCTAGTGCTTCCCACGCACCTTTAGCTTAATCATGGCCTGCAACAATAGGAAATTGACTTTCATGAATTAGCCCATAAATAATATCTAGTGCCTTATCGTTGTGTCCAGCACTTGTTTTCTCAGCTTGGGTCCATTCATTTTCAGGTTTTGTCACTCGAGTTTCATCCTCACTGGTACTGACTTTTGTTGGATGTTCCCAGCCTGTTACAATGATACACCACACTGCTTCACCTTGTGCTTTGAGATGAGTGCGTGTGCGCACCTTCCAATATGCATAGTTGTCACCGACTAGCTGGGGAAGAGCTTTAGTGTGCTCCGTTCTGTAACACTCAATAACCCGTGAGATCGAACAATTTAACAGAATCAGAAATAATAAAACTAACCACTGAAGGATTGAGATCAAGGGGCACGGAGTAGCCAGATCGTCAGACTAATAACTTAAGTCTGGAGGCTCTGATACCAATTGAAAAAACCCGTGTATCTTGAAATCAATTTAACACTAAGGATTCTACTTGATTTTATATTACTAGACAATTTCGCTGTTTAATTAAATCAATTCAATCAACATATAAATAACGAAATTGAAAGCGTAAATAAAGTAAAGACACAGTAGAATTGTTACGCAGTTCGGAGCTCCTTCTCCTACGTCTGCGGGGCAACCCACGTCTGCCCAATCCACTAGATGTTCACCACAGAGTATTACAAGAGGTAACTACAAACGGCTCACAGCCTTTACCACTACAACTCTTCTAAAACACCTACTCAGGACTGAACCGTGCATGCCATAACCATCTTTGGTGTAGCACTTCAGCTGTCACAGGTACTAGCTTGTAGTACAGATTTAAATCACAATTAATATAATCAATATTAAACCAGTAAAGTAGGAAGCTTGCATATGAGATCAGAATTTCAGAATTGGCAACTTCCTCTTTCGTTTTCCCTTCCTTATATACTGTACGCAACTCCCATTTCACCAAGCCTTGATTGTAGCTTCATATGTGGCTTGAATTCTTCTCAACCACTCATTCATTAAATGAGATCTTCAGACTTGCTTCTTTGTCCAATTCATTAACAATAAATCTCCACCACACATTTTAGCTTGGTCCAATAATACTAATTACAAATCATGCTAATTACATATTAATAAAATAAACTAATAAATTAGCCAATCTAATGTGTACTATTTTGTACACTTACATATATATATATATATATATATATATATATATATATATATATATATATATATATATATATATATATATATATATGTATATATATATACTCTCGCTCTTTTGTAAAAAGAATACTTTTTCAGTGGGGGTTTCTGTTGAGTCACATTGACTCGCTTTCTTTCTTTCTTTCTTTCTTTCTTTCTTTCTTTACTCGCGGGCGAGGTAGGAACTGCACCAAGTGAACGAACCTATCCGAGCTCGCGAGACGGAGCCAAAGGGGGGCAGCTGCCCCCCTCACCCCACCCCCACCCCATATATAACCTTTGTATGTATATATGTATATATAGTACAAGTTTTAGTATTAGTATAAAAAACTACTAGAAATCAACAAGAAATGAATTAGATTAGTTAGTAAGGCATATGTTTATTTAGTTATAATAATAAAGGTCAGGGGTTTGAATCCTTTGGTGTCAACATTTTTTTACAGTTTTTTTGACTCATTCCCTATGGTTTCAACACAGTCACGTTTTTAATAGTTTTTTTTTTAAATATTTAACACACACACACACACACACACACATATATATATATATATATAACATTCTTTTATATTAATAATGAGATGTGTAATTTATAATATATTTTCTATTCAAATTATTTTATCAAATTAATTATGTTTTATATTTTGTTATGAATCAAGTTTCGATGTGTTTTATTTTTCGACCATATCTAACAATATTTACAACTATATTGCATAGGTAATTTATTTTTATTTTTTAAAATTATCTCTTTTTTTTTTTAATGTTTTGCATTTACTGAAAAAAAAAATTTGAATCTATTCCTACTTCTTCGCCCCCCCCCCCCCCCCCCCCCCCCCCCTCAACATAATTTCTGGCTCCATCCCTGCGGGCTCGGCATCTAGCCGACCTAATACTCATCTCGCCCATTAGTTACGTTAGAAATAATATCACTCATCCGCACGGGTTTAGCTCAATGGTTTAGTGGGCAGTATTTGGGGTAAGAGACCAAGATTTGAACCTCGGTGGCGGCAGTGTGGGAATTATGTCCAAAGTTGGCAGATTCCTGCACCGACATTTGGCCCTGCTTACTAACCCATTGAGTTACTGTGATTTACATCCTCTCATATACTCTGTTGGGTCGGAGTGTGGGGGCCCTTAGGGTTTGGGGAGGGATTCAACCTTTTTGGAGAAGAAATAATTTCCCTCAATATAATGTAGACTTTCATCTATCCAACTGGCGCATTTTTTTCCAAGTCAATTTGTATATAGAAAGGAAAATGCCAATCCCGAACGTAACTCAAAGAGTTCCCCCTTTCACGGTTTCACCATACTTTTCAATCGATTATTTCTCACCCATAAACGCGTGGAAGAATTTTAATTTAAACCACTCCATACGCTTGACTGCATCAAATCTAAGTTGTATGTATGCTAACTATCAACGTATTAATTAGGTTGGAATATCTTTTTATTCGATAAGAAATTAGTGAAAAGTGTACTAAAATATTTCAAATTTTATTGCAAAACAATCAATTTAAAATAATTGTTTTTTTCAAAACATTTAAAATAATTGTTCGTTACAGCTTACAAATGTAGCAGGATTTTTGCTGTCATGCAAATTAGAATAATTCTATCGAATTGAATTAATTGTAATTAAGGATGGCATGTAAATCACTAAAAAAAAAAAAACCCTAACAAAATTATCTCATATCGAATTCGCTCAAACAAAACTATAAATTTGCGATTTGTTTTCAATTTTTATTTATGTAATTAAAATTTTTGTTTGATACTTAATGCAAACTGAAGTTTATAAACATAAACCAAGCCAAAAACTGATTTGATTAAGATAATATCTAAATTATTGTAAACTTGAATGTTTAGTAATGGTAAGATCTTAGTATTTGATTTTATCAAGATGGAGGATTATATTTGAATAGTATTATTCATGTTAAAGAAAAGTGACATCAGATGAAAGGAGGGAATGATCAAGCCCACCTAAGAAGATTTTAAACCATTCGCATGCATTTTTTTTTCCAAGTCAAGCTTGACTTAGAAATGAGAGTGTCAATGTCGAAAGAAACATAATTGAGTGCTACTCCTCAACCAATAAATGCATGGAAGAAGCTAAAATCATATCATGGAATCTAAGTTTTTTTTTTTTTTTTTAATTAGACTAACAAATAATTAATTAAAATTGTATTAATTAGTATTTAAGTTATATTACAATTAACTTGCTAATATAATGATCTTTTTTAACATTAGTGTAATTAAGGAAGAGCTAGTAAACCAAAGAAAAAAAATCAAATCAAATATAATTAAAATGGACAAATTAGATATGAAAATGACTATTATCAGACATTAAAATTGGAATGGACAAAGGCAAGAGGTTTTAGAAAATACTATGTAGCCTGCTATCCTAGAAAAAGCAGCTAAGGTAACTCAAATTTATAATCTCACCGGACTCCGGATGATGACTTTAGGATTACAAGTCAATGAACGTGTGAAACAATCTAATCTCAACTAGAGGCCAATAATTATATATTATATATCCTAATAATAACTAATAAGCATGTACATACTTAGAGCAATAATATATCATTTTCGTAATTTTTGAACTATTGAATTATTGCATCATATATATGTATCTAACAAACAACATAAGTAGTTGTCATATGCACTAAATATCTTCTTATTTAAGAGAGCTAAGGTTATATGAGAAGAATCCGTGTAGCCTCTTCAGTTACAATACTCACACAATATTGAGTCTATAGTTATACTTGTTTTACTTCATCAAATGGGGAAATTCTTATTATGGGTTTTGATTTTGGTGATGGTAGTGAACACTTTGAGCTGTTTAGGGTGTCTCGAGGAAGAGAGGATTGCACTCTTACATGTGAACACTCACATACTGAACACCACATATGGGAACTCTCTAGATTCATGGGTTGAAGATAAAATGAGTGATTGTTGTAAATGGTCAAGGGTGACATGTAGTAATATTACGGGAAGAGTGATTGGACTATATCTCTCTTTTGTAAGCTATGAAAGAGTTGAGAATTGGTATATCAATGCTACTGTATATCTCCCTTTCAAACACCTCAACTCTCTAGACTTGACTAGAAATAACATTGCTGGTGTGGTTGAGAATGGAGGTAAGTCATCTTTTTTAAAATATTTAAATTTTCATTTATTACTGTTAATTACTTAGTATTATTTAATTTTAACTATCAGATCAGAGGATCAATTGAAATTTGAAAACTTTAAATATAAAGTTTAATTTATTAATGAGTATTTATTATCATGTTTATTCAAACAACTCAACCAATTATCTATATCAGACTTGAGAAATTGAATTAGATCATTTGGATGGTGTGGTTGCAAATGCAGGTCAACTCAAATAAAACTCTATTATTTATTATTGTTAGTTATAACTGACTACAATTTTCAATTCTCAAAGCAAAAAATTAAAAATCATAATAATGTCAAACTACAGGAAACGAAAATAATTAACAGGTTTTGATAATGGTAGTAGATTGCAAGACATAATTAAACTCATATATACATATCCTGTTCAATTATTATTTCATTAATATTTATGATATGTTAACAGGTTTTGATAAACTGTCAAAACTTCGCAATTTGAAAGAGCTTGATTTGAGCTATAACAACTTGAATCGCAATATATTTTCTTCTCTCAGTCATCTTTTGTCTCTCAAGGAACTTTATTTGGATGAAAATCCTTTGGATTCCCCTCATAATAATTCAGGTATGCTTATTTAACAAGTCTTATCAACTTACTATGTAAGATAATGAGTTCATTATTCAATTGATGTTGTTTAATTCGATCACGCATGCTGAATTTTTTATTATTTCATACTATAGACAATATAGGTCATGAAAGACTCTCCGGATTAAACAATTTGGAGATCCTCCACATGAGATCAACCAAGATGGAAGAAAACAATGTCTTATCGGCTTTGAGTAAACTAATCTTTTCAAATATTATTTATATTTATGTTGCTTATATATGTGACAATGTCTCTGTATTATACTTAAAAGAATACAATTTAAGTGAAATAAATTTACACCTGCATCCCACGATGAGTTTTTCTGAGTACTCTTTTTGGGACAGATTTAAAAGACTTCATCAACTTGAAGGATCTCGACATAAGCGAGAACAAATTCCAAAGCTTTGAACCAATTAAAGGTATTGGAGGGAGGGAAATGTTTTTGAAGCATTTATGTTGACAAAATTTATAAAATATACTTTGTAAGTTGGAGGGAGAAAAATGTGTAATGACTTAATAAGCTTACTGTAATGAATTTGTAATATTGACTTAGAGAATATGTAATAATATCTTAATAAACATGCACTTATTACTTAATTTGATTATAGGCTAATTAAATAATATATGGTCAATTTAAAGATTTTAAAGCTTTTTAATGATATATTTTTTATACACTAATTTTATTTGTACAAAAAAAAAGGAAAAAAATTAAATTTAAGTTTAAAAAGAATTTAGGGAGAGGGATGTTAGTTTTATCTAATTAAGTTTTTTCATAATGATCTAAGAGCAATTTTACTTGTATTTGTTATTCTTGTCTGTGACGTATATCGTTAATTTTTTTTATTGAATTTATTTTGAGGATATTATTGAAGGAGAAGTATTGATAAATGTTGTTAAATAATTCTTGGAATAATCATATCATAAGTTGTCTAACTTAAGTTTTTGTACAGATGGAAGAAGATTAATGAAATTGGAGAGATTGAGTTTGGACAACAATAGGTTTAATAGCAGCATCTTCAAGTCACTTAAAGAGTTCCCTTCACTTAAAATTCTGAGTTTGAGAGAAAATAATTTTCACGGATCACTGCATATACAAGGTTCCTTCATTCAATCTCTATCTTCAATTAATATTTGCCGATCTACAACGTGAATCATGTAGCCTTCAACTTTTTCTGCAGATATAAATGCTTTGAGCAGTTTGGAGGACTTAGATTTGAGTTATAGTTCATTTGAGGACTTTGAGACCTCTACAAGCCTTTCAGGTCAATTAGTTTTATATAATTATTATATTTTTTTTCTTAACATATATCTTTAACTTAACTTTTTATGTTTTGTAATGTGGAATTAGGAGCATCAAGTCAAATTAAAAACAACAGTCATCATCTCCAGTTGCACTTAAATAGCATCAAGTGTAACATGACAAAGCTATTACAGTCTTTGGCAACACTTCCATCCATTAAGAGCCTTCGTTTAGAAGAGAACAACATTACAAGCATTGGTGCAATTCATGGTGAGGAAAATGAAAGATCTACTGGTCTTACTTGCATTCTGCTCACACCATTTCTTTTATCTAATTTTGTTTCATGTGTATGTGGCATTTAAGCATTGAGGAATCTAAGCATGCTAGAAGAGTTGTTTCTTGACTACTCTTACCTACATAAGGACTTTCTTCAAAACATTGGACCAATGAGCTCGCTCAAAGTATTATCAGCGAATAGAGCACAATTAAGAAGTACATTACCTAATAAAGGTAAAATTATCGTTTCTTATCAATTGTTATTCCTTTCATGGCTATAACCATACACTCCTTAATAACTAATTAAGTGTATGTCATTTCATTTTTGTAACTTAAATTTTTTGTGATTACATCATTATAGGTTGGTGTGAACTAAGGAGCCTCCAAGAGCTTTGGTTTAGTGAAACTCAATTGGAGGGAACACTTCCACCATGTTTGGAAAATTTAACATCTCTTAGTTTAATTGATCTCTCTCAAAATCGGCTTATCGGAAACATTGGTTCGTCTCCGCTTTCAACACTCAAGTCACTCAAATATCTATTCATTTCGAGTACTTCTTTTGAAGTCCCAAGCTCATTCAGATTTTTTGCTAATCATACAAAGCTTAGAGGCATTCTTGCTAATGGAAATAAGGTGATTACAGAAACTGAGTTGCAAAGCTGGGTGCCTAAGTTCCAATTACAAGTCTTTTATATGTCAAATTGCATCGGCCTTCTAAAGTTGCCAACATTTCTTCACTACCAGCATAATCTGAAGGTTTTTGAGATCTCCAACAACAATTTGGAGGGAGAATTTCCCAACTGGTTGCTACAAAACAACATGGAACTCGTTTATTTTCTAATGAATTCCAATGCTTTCACAGGAGTCTTTAAGTTGCCGTCACACCATAATGCTAACATGTTGAGAATTAGTGTCTCCGACAACAAGTTATGTGGAGAGATTCCTAACAACTTAAGTTCATCCTTTCCAAATGTTTTTGCATTGAACCTCTCTTATAACTTGTTTGAGGGTCAGATACCTTCCAATCTTGGAAAGTTGGAACAGTTATACTTTCTGGACTTGTCAAACAATTCATTGACTGGAAATATTCCAAAGGAGGTGTTGATAGGTTTATCCTCAGTGTTGTCTCTCAAACTGTCAAATAATAAGCTGCAAGGAGAAATAGTACAAGAATTTGCTTGCTTATCTTCACTTGGGTTCTTGTATCTTGACGGTAACAATTTCACAGGCACCATATCGGATAGCCTTTCTAATATCTCATCATTGTGGATTTTGGATATTAGTGACAACAAATTTTCTGGAGAAATTCCAAGATGGATGGGTCATATGACAAGTTTAAAGGAACTCAGTTTGTCCAAGAATCATCTCAAAGGTTCCATCCCTGTAGAGTTTTGTTACCTTGAAAGTCTCTTTGTTTTAGACTTATCAGAGAATAACTTAACAGGGTTAATTCCATCCTGCCTTAATCCACCCATCATACAATATGTTGGTTTGAGTAAAAATCACCTTGGAGGTGATCTCACACATGCATTCTTTAATAACAGTCCCTTGGTCATACTTGATTTAAGTTATAACGATTTTGTTGGAAAAATTCCAGAATGGATAGGAAGCATCTTTGAATTGAGCATTCTTAGCCTCAAAGGAAATCAAATTGAAGGTACGATTCCCATGCAAGTATGTCAGCTTAAGAGACTAAGTATGTTGGATTTATCTAGTAATCGACTAATTGGTCGGATCCCCCATTGTTTGAGTAAGTTGAGCTTAGAGGCTACTGATAAAAAATCTGAACCTGTTTCTGTTGGATCTTTAGGATTTAACATGGAGCCTGCAATGCCATATGATGTCAGTGGATTGATTGAATTTTCAACGTATGGCATCCCTCCAGAGGTGGGATTTACAACAAAAGGAAATTTATACTACTACAGAGGAGTCCCACTCACATATATGTCTGGAATCGATCTCTCTAATAATAAGTTAATTGGTGAAATTCCTTTTCAGTTTGGAGATTTAATAGAGATTCGTGCATTAAACTTGTCACACAACAATCTTTGTGGAACAATTCCAGAAACATTCTCAATGTTACATAATATTGAGAGTATGGATCTTTCTTACAACAAGTTGAGTGGGAAAATTCCCAACACTTTATTGAAGCTCACTTCATTGGAGTTCTTTAGTGTTGCACACAACAATTTAACAGGTGCCATACCAGAACCAAAAGCTCAATTTGCTACCTTCAATGAAAGCAGTTACAAGGACAATCCTTATCTCTGTGGGCCACCATTACAAGTCATTTGTAACAGGACTGAGCACCCATCATCTTCATTGCTATTTAACACTAATGGTGCGAGTGATGAAGAAAGTAATAATGTTGATATGGAGGTTTTCTACATCAATTTTGGTGTATCTTATATTATTTTTTTGTTAAGTACAATAATAGCGTTATATTTAAATCCTTATTGGAGAAACTCATTGTTTCAACTGATTAAGGTCAATGCATGTATGTAAGTGGTTATGTGAAGTATGCCTAATGGCTGTTTGGATTACTTAATATTAATAATTTCAATGTTGTATTTTACTGTTTTTAATTTCATGAACTCATATCATTTGTATGCTCTACTATATATATAATAATTATTATTATTATTATAATAATAATAATAACTTGAAACTATATGTGTTATGATCATAATGGTCCTGGTTTTAGGACGACTTAATTTTATTTGATTTGGGACAGTTAATCAAATTCTAGTCTCTTATCAATTAAAAGATCATATGTTTTTTAACTAGCAAATTCAAAAATTTGTATATACTACAAATTTTCAAAAAGCTTTTAAAATCCACTATAACTATCTAATTTCAAGTCAAGCTTGGCCGTACTAATACTTTTTTTTTTTAAAGCGGTAATTAATGATAATGTTGGAATGCATGGGGACAGTGAAATTTGTGTATGTAAGCATTGAAAATTTAAATAATATTGTTGGACCGTGGTGGATAATTGGTTGCTAAATTAATTACTTTAATTGAGGTAATTGGACTAATATTTATTTAATTGGGTTAATGAAATGGCCCATTGAATAATTAATTAGTTTAATTACTTAATTAAATGTAATTGGATGTTGGATTGTTCGGCCCGAGATGACGAAATATTTAATCGAGTTGGACCAGACGGCTATTGAATCAATTGGACTGCATAATTAGCGGGCTTGACTTGGTCTTGGCCCACTAAAATTATATGTGGATTATATAATTTTGAAGAATTTGAATATTTGATATTACTTGAAAATTTAATGAAATCATGAACCTGGACGCAATGGTGTCCCGATACATTCCTTAATTTAATTAAAGAAATTAAATTAAATAAGGAATTAAGAGTTGGTTGGAGATTTTCTCTCACCCTCACCACTATAAATAGTGGTTTTATTTTCAAGAATGGGAGCTCTGGAAATCTGCACATCGAAGCTCTGCCGAAATCTCGCCAGGATCTCATCTGGAACACGCCCGCAGTTATATATACTGCGTATATAGCGCTGAGGAATACGCCATTTGAACACCGGAAGCCCTTCTTTGAAGATCAAGCTGCATATTAGCCCTTCATTGAAGAACAAGCTACATAACTCCGGAGGCCCTTCAGCAAGGAACTACTTCCAGTTCGGTATACTCCCGAACTCGGCATACTTCCAGTTCGGCATACTCCCGAACTCGGCATACTTCCAGTTCAACATACTTTGAACTCGGCATACTTCAAGTTCAGCATACTCTGAACTCGGCACACTTCTAATTTGGCATATTCCAAATTTGGCACACTTCCAATAGGTATATTTGTAGTAGAGAATCAGAGGACTTCTCCTATACAGAGATTGTACCCCTTCCCGTTTGATATATACTTGATACTACTTGTAACCGATACTTTGAATTTTGAATATATACAATTCAAGTTTTTCGCGTTTACATATTTTGGCACGCCCAGTGGGACAGCTCTGCCTCTCATCTCTCTACTACTATACCTCTACCTGCGCATCAAATGGCATCGAACAATCCCATGTTCAGGAGGACCTATGCCCAAGCTACCAAGTCCAAGTCTACGCCTGTAGCTAGCCCTGGCACAACCCAGAAAACGCAAGGTCCGCTGACAAGGAACCGCGCAAAGGATTTGGGGGTCCAAGTGCCTGAACCTCAGTCCATGGCACGACGTGTGGTTCGAAGGCTCGACAAGGCCCCTGCTGTCTCAAAGGCAATTGCTTTTGCTGGAAGTCCACCCTCTCCCAAGGGAGCTACCGATGGTGGTAGTCCAACTTCTATGCAAGGGAACGCTAATAGCGGGAGCACTTCCCCTGTAACTCCGCCACATCCATTATGGAAGACTGCACCTGAGTGGTCGCATGTCTACAATGTCATGCCGGCCATGGCGACAAACACAGAGTCTGTGGAGGAGCAATTAGCTAGAATTGCTAAGTCTCTGGAAGGAATGGCTGTCACTCTCCAAAATCAAGAGAAACGGCTTAACACCCTCGATAATAGGGTAGGAAGCATCATGGAGGAGCAAGGAAGCCGTGCTCCAGGAAAGCAACCTGAAGGGCAAGAAGAGGTTGGTCAGCAATCACCACCACCTCATGTTAGCCATGTGGTAGGAGAAGCTGCTTCCCACTTACCTGTAACTGAGAAAACTATTCCAGTTACCGAAGGCATGATACCGGTGGATCAGTTGAAGGACTACATAATGGGGGCCATCAAAGGCAAGTTGGATGAAGGCCAACCTTCATATTCCTATGCTAAGCCCTACACACAAAGAATTGAGGAGTTGAAGATGCCCTACGGCTATCAACCTCCTAAGTTCCAGCAATTCGATGGCAAGGGAAATCCCCGACAGCACATTGCCCACTTTGTGGAAACATGCAATGATGCAGGGACTTATGGCGATCTGTTGGTAAAGCAGTTTGTCCGTTCATTAAAGGGAACTGCGTTTGATTGGTACACTGACCTCGCGCCCGGCTGCATTGATAGCTGGCATGATATGGAACGTGAGTTCTTAACTCGTTTCTATAGCACAAGGAGAACGGTCAGCTTCTTGGAACTCACTACTACTCGCCAATGGAAGGGTGAACGCGCCGGTACCTACATCGAAAGGTGGAGGGAACTATGCCTGAATTGCAAAGAAAGAATAACCCAAAGTTCTGCAATTGAGATGTGCATCCAAGGAATGCACTTTGAACTCTCCTATATCCTACAAGGGATTAAGCCAAAGTCCTTTGAGGAGTTATCCAGTCATGCTCATGACATGGAATTGAGCATCGAAGCCAGCGGAGGGCACAACATATTGAACTTGCCTAGCTCCTCCAATGCACCTGGAAAACAAGAAGTTAAAAAGTGGAACAAACCTTTTCCAAAGCAGGAAAAGAAAGAAGTGATGAATGTGAAGGCTACTCCTATGACAGTCTTCACTAAGGCAACTGAAAGGCCTAGGTCAAGATCATTTTCTGGCCCGTCAAGGGGTGGTAGAAGGCCGACAATTGAAGAAAGGCAGGAGAAGACTTATCCTTTCATGGATTCCGATGTATCTCCCATGTTTGATGAGCTACTCAAACTTAGGCTCATTGAGTTGCCTGAAATGAAACGTCCCGATGAAGCTACAAGGGTGGATGACCCATATTATTGCAAGTATCATCGTCTTCTTGGTCATCCGATTGAGAAGTGTTTTATCTTCAAAGATAAAGTAATGGCACTGGCCAGAGATGGAAAAATCGAGCTTGCCGATGCCAAAGCGAGCTCAAATCAAATCTCGATTACACCCGGACGGTTCGCTCCGCTGTGTACTGAAAAGGAAGATGGGAAACAACGGAAGCGTCCACTCCCCTTCATTGTTAAGCACGCTGTCGGTCAAAGTTCAGAACCGCAGCGGAATGGTAACGCATCCGAAGGTAAATGGGTGATTGTCACTCATAGAAAGAAGAAATTCGAGCCTGTGAAGCATCAAAAGCACATAGTGAAAAATTGGGTTGAGAAAACCTCAAAAAGTACTCATGCCCGCAAATCAAAGACGAAGGGGCATGTCAAGCAACCACGAGCACCAGTTTCTTTGGCTCAATATATGCCAAAAGGATTTGATCTTCAAGGGGCAGGCACTTCTAGCTCCTGCCTAAATACAAATGACAAGCCAGAAGATGGAGGTGAATGTTCATCTCCTAAACACATCGAGGATGAGGAAGTGTTAATGCATAAGGCTACTTCCTACTCCACAGAAATTACCTTCAAGGATGAAGACTTGTTACTTGGAGGCACGCCACACAATCGCCCATTATTTGTTGAAGGCTACACCCGTGGGCAAAAACTCAAAAGAATTATGGTTGATCAAGGCTCAGCTGTCAACATCCTATCCCTCCGAGCTGTGAAGGACCTTGGTATATCTACAGATGAGCTTGCCCAAAGTCGTCTAATGATACAAGGCTTCAACCAGGGAGGGCAAAGAGCAATCGGCATCATCAGACTTGACTTAAGAATTGGGAGCCTAAGTTCAGGTGTCCTCTGCCATGTCATAGATGCGAGGACATCTTATAACTTGTTACTTGGAAGGCCGTGGATACATGAAAATGGGGTGGTACCCTCGTCTTGGCATCAATGCCTTATGTTTGAAAGGAACGGCATAGTTGAAAAGGTTGTCGCCGATGAAAGCCCTTTCACCGAGGCTGAGTCTTACTTTGCGGATGCAAAGTTCTACATTAAAAGGAAAGTTATTGTTGAAGATACGCTCATCTTCCCGCTTGCAAGGATTGATACGCTCAAAACAAATGCAGCAAACTCATCCGAAGAGAAATGTGGTGATAAAGTGGGCCAAATATTCCCCGCCAAACGTACCGAGGGTTTTGACCCTAACGCTTATAAGCTTCTAGCCAAGGCTGGCTATAACCCCAACGAGCCACAGAAGTTGGGAAAGCTTATCCCAGAAGCCGGTGGTAAAGGCAAACCAAATCACCAAGAACCTCAAACGCGCAAAGGGTTGCGCTATGTTCCCCCTAAACCAGTGCGAATTCTTATAAACAGGGCTGCAAGTAATTGTATCTCCGCGGAGGGAAGCGAGTATGACCCAAACCTCACTCCTACCAATGATAATGGGCAAGACAAAAAGAAGTCAGTCTTCGACCGAATCGGTAAGGTGAACTCTCGACGCTCCGTCTTTGATAGACTGGGGTCAAGTCCTAAAGCCCTAAAGAGAAAGTTAATGCATGATCGACTTGGAGCTGTCCAAGTTATTAAAGACAGTGCCAATGTTCCTGCTGAAGTGGAGCCTCCCAAAAGGCTTAGAAGCATGATTCCTTCTCGGATGAGACGAGAAACATATATTCACGTTTCATGTGGTGAAGTGTTGAAAGTCCAACCGAAGACCATTGTACACACTCGTGTATATAAAGAAGAGAATGAGGAAAGCGTAGGCTCAAGTGATGACGTACCACCAACCACTCAGGGAGAGGTGGCATCGTCGTTCCATATCACGTTATGTGATGAAACCCCGA